AAACCATAACCTAAAAAACAGTAGATGTAACAGACCCTTTACCACGTCTATTAGGCGTATTGGGCATATAGGGCTAGACCCATATTTTATAGACCATACGGCACTTGGTAGGTGACGCGGTAAACATCACGCCAGTCGCCTTTACTTCCCAGGATTGTACCTGGTACCCACTCAAGGCTGGGTCGGCCTGGGAGCCAAGGTCATTTTTGCAACAACAACAAAAACAAAAAAATCGGGATCCATCAGGAAATGAACTCATGACCTTCCGATTCGTAGGTGAGCGTCTAGCCACTAGACTACAGCAGCTCCCAAATCTAAACCACGGCCGACTTTAGCAGACAGGTGGTGCTGCTGACGTCACGGGGTCGGGCTAACGATGCGTTACCGCGTTAACTGGGAGCCGTGAGCCTATGCCAGGGGTGCGGCGGCAAAAATCAAGAAAAGTCGGCTAAAAAAATGTGAAATTACTAAAGAAAGCATGTAGATACTTTAAAGTTTAAATTTAATTTGCCTTTCCTCGCTACTGTCTCGTAACTTTTTTTTTTTGAGAACTGATGCGTTAACGCATCATTAGCCTGACCTGGTGACGTCAGCAGCACGGCCCGTCAGCTGGGGCCGGTCAGGATCTAAACCTAAACAAATAAATATATCACAATATAGTGTTATATAGAACAATAGAGTGTCAACATGAACGATCGCTTTGACCAAACGCAGTATATGGAGTCACAAACAACACTATCAACAAGGTCGTGATTACAGAGTCGACTTAAGACCACAGCGGTGATAAGATACGATAGAATGTGGCAAGAAACACGAGATATTGAAATTTAGATGTTGTTGTAACCGTGAATGAAACTACAAGTTTCTAGTAAGTGACGCAAGTTCGGCAAAAGTATCACCTTTAGCACGGGTCTGATGGAATGGATCGATCTAGTAAGTATCGGCGAAGGTATCATCCTCAACACGGGTCTAATGAATGGATCGATCTAGTAAGTATCGGCGAAAGTATCGCCCTTTGCACGGATCTGATGGATGGATCGATCTAGTAAGTATCGGCGAAAGTATCACTTTTCGTACGAGACGGATGGATGGATCGATCTAGTAAGTATCGGCGAAGGTATCATCCTCAACACGGGTCTAATGAATGGATCGATCTAGTAAGTATCGGCGAAGGTATCATCCTCAACACGGGTCTAATGAATGGATCGATCTAGTAAGTATCGGCGAAGGTATCATCCTCAACACGGGTCTAATGAATGGATCTAGTAAGTATCGGATATCATCCTCAACGGGTCTAATGAATGGATATCTAGTAAGTATCGGCGAAAGTATCACCCTTTGCACGGATCGGATGGATGGATCGATCTAGTAAGTATCGGCGAGAGTATCACCTTCTGCACGGGTCTAATGAATGGATCGATCTAGTAAGTATCGGCGAAAGTATCACCTTCTGCACGGGTCTAATGAATGGATCGATCCAGTAAGTATCGGGGAGAGTATCACCTTCTGCACCTGTCTAATTAACGGATCGATCAGTAAGTATCGGCGAAAGTATCACCCTTTGCACGGGACTGACGGATTAATCGATCCAGTAAATCCAACGATAATCATTCTCAACCGGAATTATCCGTTTGTTTTTCTTTCTCTTTCAGTCAGGATCACACACAGAGCATCACCGTTCTGTTCACAAGTCTTCATTGTCTCATACATAGCCGCTATTGTTGCCCTGTTATGACATTATGTGTCACATAAGGAGCGCCAAATTTATACCTCTATTTTAATGTATCCTATGCAATCAATCTGATATAATGGATGCCTTTATAACTGTTGCTACCAGTGATAGCTCACATATGTCTCTTAAACCTTTAATCCTGTTGAATCACCGTAACATATGCTAGAACTCACATACAAACCTTCTTAGGTGGGTAGGTAGGCAGGTTTCTGTTTGCTTTAGTATCCAGAAGCCATGAGTCGTTAACCCTTAGGCTCGGTATTATGGATATCACAACCTTTCGGCCTTGATTCCATTAATAAATACCGTAAATCTGGGAGAAATGTGGCTTTCCTGCCTACAACGTGGGATTGAACCCGGACCACAAGGAGTTCGTCGCCCGGTCTCCGCGCAATCCGGTTTAGCCAACTACGCTAGACAGCTGGGCAGGTGGGTAGGTCGGTAGCTTTACCCCACCAGGACATCACACACGCGATTAATACCCGGTAACCACTATGTGGATGACAAGGATCACCCGTGGAGAGGTCCCAGAAGCTCCTTTCAGTCGTTAGGCCATATCTATGGCTAAGCCATATTTTATGGCCCAGAGCTCCTGGCAAAAGACCTGGTGGGGCTTCTAAATAACAAAAAATTGCATCCCACGACTGAGCGATCTTCTTAGGTGGGTAGACCATTCTAACTTTGAAAACTTGTCATTATAGTCACCCACGGCCTACTCTAAAAAATGTTTCCTACAGCTAAGGTATTCCCGGCACGGCCATTGCTTAGGGGTGACAACCCATAGACCACCACCACCACCTCCACCTGCTCCTCCGCCCGATAGAGTTAAACATCAATAGAATGTGAAGATATCAAGGGAGAGCATTACCAGTTTAAATTCTTGATGTTGTCTCCCTTAGTATGCTCTATAAGGATGTACATACAATTCGTTTGTGAGGATTATTTTCCGAGTCAGTTAAAGCTCATAGAGGCAGCAGCTGGGGGGTAGAACAGGCACCTATGTCCGCCGGCTGGCCGAGCTCCAAAAAGGTCTGGTCTGTGTTGCCTGCCTGACTTTGAGAACACGACTGTGAAGGTCATGGTAGCGGGTCATCACGTCATCAACAATGGTTTCCGGAAAACACGTGGACCAGACATCATCGGGACACCTGCGGTAGTGATGGAGTATCGCTTCCTCTGGTCCCAGTTTGTACCTACCAGACAGGTAAACACACACCGTGTAGTGCCATTCGGGGATCAATATGTTGATGACAATGATGAAGATTATGTGTATGGTAATGATGATGATGATGATGACGATGGTGGAAACGATGATGTTTTTGGTGAAGATGACGATGTTTTCGAAAAAAAAATGAAAATGTTGATGTCAGTAATGAAGATACTGGTTGACATATATTGCGAGCTCCACATTTGTAAGGCCAACAGGCTCTCACCGGGTGATATGGATCAACATAACACCGACCACCTTTACTTCCCAAACTGATTCAAGCGCCTTACCTAACCCTGGGAGAGGGGAGGGGGGTTTCTGTGGCGAAATGGTACTTTAGTGATACTACTCAACTAACCGCTCATCTACCTAACTAATTATTGAACAAATCATCTAACCAAATAACCATCCAACTAATCATCTAACCAAAAATCCAGCTAAACACAAAACTAACCACCCAACCAACCACTCACCTAACCATCCAACTATCCAACCAACTAACTAACGCTCAGATCTGAACAGCCTTAAACAGCAGTAAGTGCGGAAGTAATAAACAACTTTTCAGTCTTTGACTTCAGGGACTCATTTACTAAAAATGGGGGGAGGGGGGGGGGGGCAGGTGCGTGGTCTCGAGGCATGGTGCTCGCCTCGAGTGCTGGAGGTTTCCAAGTTCAATCCCCAGTAAGAGCTAGGATTTTTCCACGTGGACTTGGAATTCTCCCGGGTCTCTTGGTAGTAAGATCGGACTCCCTTATGCATTGTTGCGAATGTAAAACAATCCATTGGCAGTTGGAAATCGAAAAGAGTAGCCTTACGGCGCTTCCCGAGCACAATCTAGAGTTCAAAATCTACCCATAGCATTTCAGGATCCTTCAGAGCTTGTGCACTGTGCTGAGCGTTTTCGGACTCAGACTTTGAATTAGAAAAAGAACGGAGCACTTGTATGTTACTATCCTTGTGCCATGATGTTGATTCGTTGTTCAATCCTTCAAACATTTTCTAAGAATTAGTTTTATCAGCAGACCACACCAACATGTACGTGCATTTGTGGCACCACGTGTTCATAACCCTCATGAAAGTGTTTGGGCTAGCCGCGCATAACATGACACCCTATTTGAGGCGGGATTGACCGCAGAAGTGGTACAGACATAATATCTTGAAGTGAAATAGACCAGACTGCCATACAGGACATCCCACTAATACTGTGAGTTGAAAACGTGACATCCCACTAATATTGTGAGTTGAAAACGGGACCGCCCACTAATATTTTGAGTTGAACACGGGACATCCCAATAATATTTTGAGTTGAACACGGGACATCCCACTAATATTGTGAGTTGGAATGGGGACATCCCACTAATATTTTGAGTTGAAAACGGGACCTCCCACTAATATTGTGAGTTGAAAACGGGACAGCCCACGAATATTGTGAGCTGAAAACGGGACCTCCCACTAATATTGTGAGTTGAAAACGAGACAGCCCACTAATATTGTGAGCTAAAAACGGGACCTCCCACTAATATTGTGAGCTGGGAAGGGTAATTCCAAGCAAGTCACCCCCCCTCCCCGCATTCCTGTGCTTTTTTGCTAGGTCAACGGGGTGAACGTGGTAATTGCTGGTCACAAGGGTATTCAACCCGAACCACGACTGCCAGGGGGCTGCGTGGTCTGGAGGCATGGTGTTCGCTTCGAGTGCTGAAGGTTACGGGTTCAATCCCTTATAAGGACTAGGATGTTTTCTAATAATTTCCCCTAGTCTCTGGGTAGTGAGATCGGACGACCGTGTGCAGACTGTTCTACGCCAGTGGGATGTCACGTTGTCCTGGCTCCAGTTAGATCAGCGCCGATGTCGCGTCTTTTATAATGCACCACGACACAGCTTTTAACGACACAGAACATCTAGAACTGGCCCTAACCCCTACTCACAGCCTGAGCCTAGGTCCCACAAGAGACTCTTTTCGAAGAAGACAGTACAACGTGACACCCTTCTGATCTAGACCAGACTAAGAACGTGTGTATAGGACCAAAATAGAACATGGAAGTAAAGACAACACACGGTACTCACGTGGTATATGTGGGTAGAGGAAATATATTGTGTGTGGTGATGGAGAGGGTACGGGACGGCAAGAAACACGAACTTGGTGCACTCATGGTGAGGCTTGGTGGCCTTCCTGTAACGGGTCAAGGCCAGGTCCTCTTCAGGGTTGCTGGGCCCCCACTCGTAGATGAAGAACTCTGTGTCAAAGAAAAAACCCGCGCTGTCCTGGAACTCCTCCATCTTTTCCTGCAAGCAAGGCCAGGTCAGTTAGTTACTGGGTTCTTTTCTGTCAAGCGACCACATCATGAGAGTTTAAGAGAGATCCCATATTATTGGAAAAGTGGGGGGGGGGGGGGGGGGGGGGGGGTTTAGGGTTAGAGTTATTTTCAGTCGCTATTCATTTAACACTAACTCAAACCTTAACACCGCCCACCCCCACTTATAATATGTGATGTCCCTAAATCACTCGAGATGTGGGCGTTAAGCAGTAAAAAACCTGGTCATGTTATCTGCACGTGGTGTTAACACATTTAATTAAGCTGCATAACATTCATGGTCAGAATAATGGTACAACTCACTTTTTCGGGCCCAGTGACGCCGTCATTGGCCGCTTTTTGATGTGTCTTAACATTTGAGACGCGTCACTCTAAGTGGCAGGGGTGTCAGGTTGTCTTTTGTGCAGTCTCTCGTATGACCTAGGCTTAGCCTGTGGGAAGGGGGGCGGGGGTGTCAGTGCCAGTTCTAGATAGTCCTAGGTCGTTAAAACCGCCGACCTCCTATAATGTAGAGCTCCCGTGATCCCTGTAACGTAGAGCCCCTGTGATCCATGTAACGTAGAGCCCGCGTGATCCCTGTAATGTAGAACTCCCGTGATCCCTGTAACGTAGAGCCTCCGTTATCCCTGCAATATAGAGCACCCGTGATCACTGTAAAGTAGTGCACCCGTGATTCCTGTAAAGTAGTGCACCCGTGATCCCTGTAAAGTAGTGCACCCGTGATCCCTGTAAAGTAGTGCACCCGTGATCCCTGTAAAGTAGTGCACCCGTGATCCCTGTAAAGTAGTGCACCCATGATCCCTGTAAAGTAGTGCATCCGTGATCCCTGTAAAGTAGTGCACCCGTGATCCCTGTAATATACAGCGCCGTGAATTATATATGGAAACCTAAATGGTCACAATTTATTATTTTCATCTTGGTCCCTCCCCAGTAGGAAAACTACATCACAGATGGGGTTTGTAAGTGTCACAGATGGGTTTGTAAGTGTCACAGATGGGTTTGTAAGTGTCACAGATGGGTTTGTGTCACAGATGGGTTTGTGTTACAGATGGGTTTGAAAGTGTCACAGATGGTGTTTATGCTTGTAACCCTTAAAGAAACTGAGTGCCTAGAATAAGCGATAGCTAACACGGGGGGGGGGGGGGGTGACCCTTTTAACCAGTCTATGTCAGTTCTTTACTGAACACATGTGCGTGTATATACATATATGTATATGTTGCAGACGAGCATAGCAGCTCCTGTATAGCTTATACCTGGTATATGCAAACATCAGTAACTGGACACTTACCTTGAAGAATTCCTTGAGGTCAAGATCCCTCCTGGGGATAATGAACTCGTCTAGATCATGACTTATGACGTAAGAGTATCCAGCCATCCTCTGGCGACACTCCAGAACCGCCATGCTCTCGTCATGGTGGAACTGCATCCGCCTCTTCTCCTTCTCCATCAGCGTTCTGTTCGCCGGATCACCGGGCAGCTCGTAAGGTTGCAAATCTAGCACCCCGATTTCCTGATAGAACCGAAACACCCTGCGGACCCTTTCAGGGACACCCAGATTGTAAATAAGAACTTTGTCGACGCCGAGCATCCTCTGGAGCTCAAACCACTCTATGATCCTCTCGGGATCTAGTCCAGCGCTGTGCGCTACCTTGGCACAGATAGCCAGTCCACCTGGGACCCTTTGGGGGTACAGAACAGGAAGGTAGTCTCTGAAATCGGTAGAACACGCAGACGACGTTAGCGTCACATGTCCGACGTATCGTCCCGTCTCCGGGACCACGCAGGAGAACTGGTGAGCCTTGAGGATTTTCGGGTAGAAAAATTCCACAATGTTGGCCACAAAGGTCACGTCAATGGTGTGGTAGAAGAAATGTGTCTGTGAGGGGATGAAGTACAAAGTGTCGTTGTCTAGCAACACACAACATCGCAGTGGGGACGTGGAGGCGTCCAGTGTTGTGATAATGATGTTAATGGCGCCGTTTACGGGCAGGTGGTAGTTGGCGATGGCAGAGTACATGAAGATGGCGTCGTCTCGTCCGTGCTTGAAATATTTCGCTTTTGAATACATCCGAGGTAGAGGTCGATGGTTCCAGCTTACATATTGTCCAACCTGCAAAAGAACATAGAGGATAAACCGTATCAAACAGATTGTTATTATGTTCATATATTTTTATTCCTTTATCTTTCTTTATCCTCTTCTTCGCTATCATCAGCATGTTTTCATTTTCTCTTCCGTCGTCTTCTTTTCCTCTTCTTCCTCTTTTCTCAGTCAATGTTACTTGTTCTGATAGCTCACCGTTTACTGGATGTTCAATGTTGGCCTGTCTTTTCCATTGTTGATTACCATAGTTTTTTTTTCGACTGTGAATGTCTAAACCAAACTGTACTTTGCATGTTGACTTGATCAACTAGTTCTTGTAACTCCTGCTCGCTTTCTGCTAGAAACTTTGTGTCACCGCGTGTCAGATTGTTTATTGTCATTTCTTTACTATTCATTCCAATCAATTCCTCAACTGACTGACTGACTTTCTACCCCACCAGGACATCACACAAGCGATAAACACGCGATGACACAATGTGCCACCTTGTGGATGAGGATCACCGTGGAGAGGTCCCAGAAACCGCGTTTAGCCTTTAGGCCACATTTATGGCCGGGCTATACTGCGGTCCCTGGCAAGAGCCAGAGTAGGGCATCAAATAACGAAAAACTTCGTCCTAAAAAGGACAGATAGTATTATAATTTTTTTTTTTGAAAATGATGTGTGTAGATTAGTTAAAAAGGCTAGGGGATAGCACACATCATTGTGGTAGTCTTTTTTTTTTCTCTATCTGTGGTGAGAAGGGGGGGGGGGGGGGGGTGAGCTGTGACTAGCTTGCTATTTGTTCCCAGTATAGGTTACTAATAATTCTGATATCCTTTTCCTCTTGTCTACTTTTATGTTACTGTTATTATTATTAAGTATTATTATTATTATTTTTCTCGACTTTTCTTTCATTTTTGCTGCCTTGCCTTCCCTTTTCCCCTTCACCCATTACCACTTCTGTGTCCTGTTTTAGATGATTGATGATGCTGTAGTTTTCAGCCTCCTGTGTTCAGGGTGTGCCGGATCGATCCCTCCTCCACGTGGCAGCAGAAGACTTCTGCTCTCACCCAACCCATCCACGAAAATCGACAATCATTATTTTTCATTCGCTAATATTTAACTAAATGTCTTGTTGTTGTGGTCGATGCTGGATTATCTCCCTTCAACCCAGTAACAGTCGTTTTCATAAAGATTGAGGTTAGGCGTGAGTGAAAAAAAGTAAGGATCCCTTTTCTCGCCTTTTGGCGCATCGAGCATAGGAGAAGGGCACCCATATTTTTACAGACCAATCGGCACTAGGTGGATAATGTGGTCAGCATTACGCCGGCCGTCTATACTTCCATAAGACGTACATCCTGGTAACGATTTCAGGATGGGTGGACCTGCGACGTCCCATATCATGATAAAAATTCATGTAGCCACAGTGGGTTTCGATCGCAGTACGTTGGAATTACTAGTCTGACTTGCAACGCCTAAGCCACGGAGGCCGAGGGTTAGGCGTAAGAGGATAATAATAATAATAATAATAATAATAATAATAATAATAATAATAATAACAATAATGTCAGTCCTGACCTACGGGCATGAGTCATTATCAATGGCAACAGCTCACGGAAGCTAACCTCATAAATGAGATCTGAGAGATGTAGTCCAAGTGACAAGAAGGGATCTTGAAACTCTGGCTTTACAAACCCGAGAATGTGGTATAAGTGACAAGAAGGGATCTTGAAACTCTGGCTTTACAAACCCGAGAATGTGGTCCAAGTGACAAGAAGGGATCTTGAAACTCTGGCTTTACAAACCCGAGAATGTGGTCCAAGTGACAAGAAGGGATCTTGAAACTCCGGCTTTACAAACCCGAGAATGTGGTCCAAGTGAGTGACAAGAAGGGATCTTGAAACACCGGCTTTACAAACCCGAGAATGTGGTCCAAGTGACAAGAAGGGATCTTGAAACTCCGGCTTTACAAACCCGAGAATGTGGTCCAAGTGACAAGAAGGGATCTTGAAACTCCGGCTTTACAAACCCGAGAATGTGGTCCAAGTGACAAGAAGGGATCTTGAAACTCTGGCTTTACAAACCCGTGAATGTGGTCCAAGTGACAAGAAGGGATCTTGAAACTCTGGCTTTACAAACCCGAGTGGATCCATCACAGTGACCATGGTTTGGACATGTTTGCAGAATGAGAGGGAATCGACTGTCACGGCAGACCAAGAACCAGGGAACCAGACCACCAGGGCGACACAGGGTCGGCTGGTAAGACAACATCCGACAGTCCCTAACTGACAGAGGACTGGAATGAAACACAGCCAGAAAGAAAATTGTTGACAGGGACGTCTGGCAATCTCTCTGGCAAACCTCTACAACCCTAAGTAGAAGAGGAGCGACTAAGTAAGTAGGCAAATAATAATAATAATAAAAATAATAACAATAATATTAATAAAAATAGTAACAGTAATAACCAGATGATAACAAGAAGAAATATTACTACGTTAAAGCTCATCACAATTATTCCTCCTCTGCATTTCGTGATATTGTGTATGAGTTGAGTTGAGTCAAGAATTGACATTACAGCACTCGGGGCATTTCCCATGCGTGCTCCCTCCTCATCTTCAGCAGCCAGAGCAGAGTTCCATCACTGATGGTACCGGTCACAATCTGGTTATATTTCCGCCTTGCCTTTCCACTGAGTGTAGTGAGCCGGCCAGACTCTACTGGTTACACCTAGATGCTTCGTTCTCTCCAGGCCACAATATTCTTCTATCTCTACTGATTCTGTTGCTTGTTCCCAAAGGGCCTTGACCACATCTGCCTTGTCGTGTATCAGTTCACACCCAGTAGTGCAGATCCAGCCAATCTTTCTGCCTGTTCATTGCCCACCACGCCGGCAAAGCCTGGAGAAAAGATCCAAAGCATGTTCACTACACGTGACCTTTCCACTAAAACTTGCCACTCTGCTCGAAGCATCCCTATCTTCACCTTTCCCAGCATGCTTTCAGAGTCTGTTACAATTATGACATGTGTATGCATGTCAGTGTGTATGTGTGTCAGTTTTGTTCTGATGGTCACCTGCGATAGATATACATAAATTTATCCTACATTGAAAAGGGGCTACAGTCTCGCCAACAGCACTCTCCTTTTTTCTTAATTTCTCTCTTAAATTCACCTGTCCTATAGCTGCCTGTTTGTCTCTCTTCTCACTCGCTCTCCAAACAAATATATACATATATGGGTCGCCGCGGCGTTTGCGGGTAAACGCTCGGCAACGGATCAGAAGGTCGTCGGTTCGCGTCCTGATGGAGCCCCTTGTTTCCCCCCAAAATAACCTTCATTTCAAGGTCGACCCAGCCTTTAGTAGGTACCAGGTGCAGTCCTGGGAAGTAAAGGCGGCCGGCTTGCACATCACACACCAAGTGCTGATTGGTATAAAAAAATATAGGTCTATACATAAACATACATATATATTTATCTACACACAGACACACACTCATGCAACAAGGATACATACGTGGGCGTATGAAACATATTAGCAAAAAGATTAAGCTATTTGTGGGAACAAATGGATTGTCTGCAACTCTCAGCCCAGAGCATGCTAATTAATTATTGATTGACACATATTAGATACTTTGAAAAAAAGGAAAAGATAGGTAAACGGACAGCAAGTTGTGCGGCAGGAAGAAAACAGAGCAGGATTGGATTGGATTTTTTACCCCACCAGGACATCACACAAGCGATAAACACCCGATGACACAAAGTGCCACCATGCGGATGAGGATCACCGTGGAGAGGTCCCAGAAACCGCGTTCAGACATTTGGCCATAATGATGACCTGCCTATATTGCGGCCCCTGGCAAAAGCCAGAGTGGGGCTTCAAATAACAAAAAATTACGTCCTTAAAAGGACGTAATGATTGAAGCAATATATATGCAAAAAAGTAACAGAGCAGGTTATCTGTAATCTTACATTAGAGTCACCACCAACCGTCAGCCACCAGAGGAGCAGACACGACGCTGTGACAATGAAGCAGATCCGTTTCTTTCTGGTACTAAGCACATGGTTGAGGACAACCTTGAGGCACCCAGACAGCCGTCTGAGCGTCATGCCTGACTGCCAGGGTATCCGGAGATTGGTCATCTTCTAGAGGATCCTGTCTCTCACCCAGTGTAGGCGGCTATCAGTCGGTTCGGGCGGATGTAACTCAGTGTAGACGTCTGCCACCCAGTGTAGGCAACTGTCATCAAGTGTAGGCAACTGTCATCAAGTGTAGGCAACTATCATCAAGTGTAGTCGTCTGTCATCAGGTCAAGGCAACTGTCACCAAGTGTAGACATCTGTCATCAGGTCAAGGCAACTGTCACCAAGTGTATACATCTGTCATCAGGTCAAGGCAACTGTCACCAAGTGTAGACGTCTGTCATCAGGTCAAGGCAACTGTCACCAAGTGTATACATCTGTCATCAGGTCAAGGCAACTGTCACCAAGTGTAGACATCTGTCATCAGGTCAAGGCAACTGTCACCAAGTGTATACATCTGTCATCAGGTCAAGGCAACTGTCAGCAAGTGTAGACGTCTGTCACCCAGTGTAGACGTCTGTCACCCAGTGTAGACGTCTGTCACCCAGTGTAGACGTCTGTCACCCAGTATAGGCAACTGTTACCCAGTGTAGGCAACTGTCACCCAGTGTAGGCAACTGTCACCCAGTGTAGGCAACTATCACCCAGTTTAGACAACTGTCACTGTCACCCAGTATAGGCAACTGTTACCCAATGTAAACAACTGTCACCCAGATTAGACAACTGTCACCCAATTTAGACAACTGTCACCCAGTTTAGACAACTGTCACCCAGTTTAGACAACTGTCACCCAGTTTAGACTACTGTCACTGTCACCCAGTGTAGACCGCCCAGATATCCTCACTTGCGTAGCTCCACCTGCCCACTGTTTGTGCTGCCTCCTCATCTCCTCTACACCATGCCTGAAACAAATAAAGAATGTCATTGTAATAATGACATTTTTATAATAATG